GGCAGTTGCATTCAGGTGATGTTTGTCGGGCAGTCCGAATCTTCACGAAATTCTCATAGGTGCGCTGAAATGTTCAAGGAAAGGCGCTTTTATTCACTGTGCTTCAATAAAAGCAAGATATTTGGGACGTAAACTTAAGTTAGAGGGGAATTCAGCGGACACACAAGGATAACATTAAGAAGTGCAAAAGCCAGTCTTACCTGAGAGAGCAGCTCGTCCACTCTTTGTTCAATGAGTGAATTAAAATCATCCATGGAGTAGCCAGGGGCACGGATAAAGGTGTGCTCGCCATTCCCACTCTCCAAATCCACAACCCGGTTCTTGATATCAGCTGTGTTAATGCTCAGAAGAATGCAAAAGGCGATGGACGCCACCGAACATAAGGACGAGATTATGTTCAGCACTGTTGCGCGGTGATATTGTCGCTTCTGGGGCGCCACTTCTTTCTCCATTTTTTCCACGCACCTTGATGCTCCTCTTGCCTCCGCGATCTCCATTTAACTACAACTACACGCGCCGCTGGGAGCAAACTGCATCTGGCGCGGAGTCACGAATTTATGGCACACTGTTCTGAGAGAGAGTGTGAGAGTGTGTGTGAGAGAGATTCTGCGACGCCGCGTTCACGTACAGTGACTTTGGTGACCGCGACAGAAAGATGAGTGGAGCTCCACTCCGCTCCAGCCAAAACGAAACAACCTGCCTGACGGGCGTGTTGGGGGGGCTCCTGCAAACTTGTTGCGCCGAGCCTTGCACGGTAGCCTGCAGCAGAGGAAATGTGCTATTATGCACAATAAAGTAGAAAGAGAGGCTGGGGAAATAGAGGGCAGCGCGCGTGCAGCAGAGACAGCATTACCGCTCAGAGCTTTTCCACGGTGCAGGCATGCTCCCCCTCGTTACGGCATCAACACGCCTCCAATCTGCTCGAGCTGATTAACATAATTTATTGACCCACTCCCTTTGAGCTCCTGCAGTTGAGTTCAATTGCCCTCAAGTGCAGTTAAATTGTATTTCGGTCATATCTCTTGTTTTAGAACGATGAAACGCTGCGTAAAAGGCATTATTCGCATTTTATTGAATGTGAACTGGCTTCATTAAAAAAGGGCGAGAGAACAAAAACACGTGATAATGAAATTTTGGAGTAATTGTGTCACTTTTAACTGAGTTCTTGGGTATATTTGAGCCGACATATGGTATCGTTTACACTGCTTAGGCCATTACGCTGCGTAAAAGCGCACGAAAATATCTGGCCATGACTGTAAATGATGTGGGCAGGCACAGCGACTCAATGTGCTACGGAAGCCCATTCCAGCCATTAAAAAGGACCAAGCCAAGTTGGTTAAAAAACATTCAAGCTCGTACTGGATAGACAGATCTAAGACTAGTAAAATATCATTTTGGAACTATTATAAAACAGTATTAAAAGGATTATGATTTACTTTTTTCATATCAAACACTTTTTTAGTCTTAATTTTGAAGACATTACCCCAAACAGTGAGACTAACAGTTGCCATTAAAAAATGTCAATCATGGTTTTGAAGTCTGAAGAGTTGAAAGAATGGGATAAAAAGTACTACAAGTCCAATCATGACAAAATCATAAAATTTAAGTTGTGAGAAAATTAACGGTCTAATAATAATTAACAGTATAATAACAAAAACGATGATGGATTAGAAACCAAAAGTTTTTGTATCAGAAATCCTGTGTGAGGTTAAAGTTAAAATTTTGTTGCATATTATCTTTTGAGAGCAGACAAATACAAGAGAAATATAGTTGTTAGTGTGCTAAAAGTCACGATTTTTATGAAACAAAATCAAAATTTCGAAACTAAAAGTCACATTTGTGGGATTAAAAGGGTCAAGATGAAAGAAAGTGATAAAAGTGACAGAGAAAAACTAAAGCATGGGGGGGTTAAAATTATGCGATACACAATAAAAATCCTGCAAATAAAAGACAAAATTAGATGATGAAAGTTGTAATTATGAAGGGATAAGAACAAAATTTACAAAATCATTGGTCATAACAGCCAACATTCACCTTACACTTGTGAAGACAGGTGTGAATATAAGACTCAACAGTCAAAAATTTGCGTCATATGTCTCACAGCAGAGATTAAAAGTCACACAAAATGAAGTCACATATATGAGAATGAGCTAAATTTGCTAAATAAAAAGTAATAATATGAGACTTTGAGACCAAATTTGAGAAAAGTTTGAATATTTTTTTGTTTTTTAACCCTATAACTTTAAATTTTGATCTCTTCTTTAGACTTAAGATGTGATGGTGTCAACTTCTTTATCTCAGAACTTTTAATAATTTTCTTGTAATTTTGGCTTTTAGTCCTTTTGTCCTGAGTTACCAACACACATTTGATGTTTTATTTACTTACACCTTTATCTCTTTTTATGTCATAGAAATGATGTCACGTTGTAGATTTTCTAGATTACAGCTCCATCTCAAGTGTTAATTTATTCATTTTGCTTTTTTTATGTTGGTGGAAATAGGCTTTTTAAAATACCCACTTGCAATGAAAAATAAATGAACGGATGACATCATATGACAACGCTGCTCAATAGAGAGACACCACAGTGTGGGTCCTATTTGTGGCTACAGTCTCATCAGAGGTTCAAGTTCATGGAAGACACGATGTAATATGATGATACTTAACATCTCTCATTCTCATGTGAGTAATAAATCTGAATATTTTGGCACCTGGCATGCATTTGCAAAAGCTTTATATAAAACAATAGGAAGTCGGCGTCTCTCCTGTCCCTGTTGACATGCTGATGATTCAGGATGCTCTTCATCTTTAATCTGCAGACTGTTGCTCTTAATTTGAGCAACAGTTGTTATCCATATCTGATGGAGCGCATTAAAGACCCCGATCCTTTTACTCTGTTTATCCATTCAAAGATACCATGATGGTTTGGGGGTTTTCTAATGACACCAAATAGAGCATTTCATATGCAGACAGAAATACTTAATGGGTAAGGGCTTTCAAATATCCATAAGCCTCCGCACACTCCTGAATTCTTATTGCGCAGTTCCTCTCTCCAGCCTTTTTGCTTTTTAATGCATCTCTGTAAAACTCACTCCGAATGAAAGCTGGAGCTGAGTGCACAGATGTCAGAAAGCAAATTAACATAAAATTATTAACACAGGCAACTCTAAACCACTTTAAATGCATTAGCAACCAGTAGCAGCAAGGCTCTGAAGTCATTGTTTTCTTGATTTCTTATCCGCAGGCTTGGAGGATAAAACCCATTAGTGTTTCTTCTCAGGGGGTCCTGAGTCAAGATTGAAATGGATTGTTGTGCTCATTAAACAAAACTATAGTAATATGACAAATTTTCAGGAGTATGGAGACTAAAACATTAAAATACCATCTCCGATTTCCATTGAAGTATGATCCCATCTAAAATATGGAGATTTCAGATTCATTTAGGACAGTCGTGTAAATTTTTCATATAGAGATGAGGTTTGAACTGATTCAGAAACATGTAGCTACAGCAGTGATTTAAAGCTCCTGTGAGGACATTTCAAACTGTGTTGGAATTGGCTTTAAGGCAAGACAGACTCACACCTGAAGCTATACAATACTCTTTGCCCTCCATACCTCCATATGAGTTAAAGTATAACCTCCATCTACGAGTACCAACCATAGACTGTATATAGAATAGACGGTGTCTGCCTCCTTGCTGGGTGAAGCCACTCCGAGAACAGCACCCTCAGTTGACTGGCTGCAGTATAGGTCATAATCCCGCCTCCGCCAGCAAAGTTTATAGAGCTGTGGACAAACTTTTGAAATTGATTAAACAGAATATAAATTTTTCTCCCCCCTGCTTGCGGTGTTGACATGTAGTTACAGTAAGACAGGTTTGTGCTCAAGTCCTTCTTTTTCTGAGAAGCTCCATTTTTAAAAGTTATTTGGAGGTTCATGTTTTCTATGATTGACACTTGATAAAGCCAATGGGCGTTCAGGGATTGCGTAGCTCACCCGGGTGATCTCACCGACTCTTCCGCCGAATGCGTACATCGCTACTGCGCAATGCTGGTTTCAGGAAATGAAGTGAAATCCCGGAAATACCAAGAGCTTTTTGGCTTCAAATCCGTTTACAGGCGGGAGGCGGAACCAAGTTGTCCATAGTATATAAAGCCTATGGCTGTGTCCGAAATGAATCACTCAATCCCTAACTCCCAACCCGCATATGGGATTTCACTATACAGTTGACTATGTAGTGAACTCAATCACAGGAGGTTTTGGACACTACATGGCAAGACGCAATGCATGACAGGATGCCCATCACTGGTGAGTGACCATCTGATGGTCACTCACCGGTGACCATCATTTGCAACGCTTTATGGGAAATTCTGATTCACCTATATAGGGCACTAGAATTGATCACTGAGGTTTCAGACACCCCTCAAAATGGCGCTAACCCCCATGTAGTCACCTATATAGGGGTTAGGAATCCATTTCGGACACAGCCTCTGGTACCAACAGAAGAATTCACTTTAGTGTAACATCATTTGGCTCAGTTTTTTTATCTTGTGAATTTTTAAAGATTTTATTCCTCGGTTCAATAAGAGAATGAGACAAGCATGAAAACTTGATCAGCTGAATTAAACACTCAAAATTACACCCCTAATGTCTCTTAACTTCCTTTAGAGACGGTGTCTAAAAGATGCCCGACGTAACTTTAAAAGCTTTGGGCGCCATCTAGCGGACAGGCGCCACATTGCACCCAAACTTGTGGAATCGATAATCTGTCATAGATGCTTTGCAAAATCCCCGTGACTTCATCCCTCAATACACCACGTCTTAATTCTCTGTTTTAGCTCATGACTGTGTGTGTGTCTTTAAATCCCCCCTCCATCTCTCAGTGACTGTCTGTTTTTTGGACATCCTACAAAGTGACAGATGGACTCCTGAGACCATGTCACGTTGCAGAATGCACAACCGATTGTACTTTGCCTATTCAGCAGATTTAAAGGGAAAACACACAGTTAAAAAAACAGCACACCCGCGCACATCTTGGGGCACCAGATACAAGTAAACCACTGTGTACTTTTTTTTTTTTTTTCCCAAAAGTCGCAGGTTTACAAAAGACGCGTTGGAATCCCAAAACGCGCATCACATCAAGCAGCGTCCTCGCCATGACAAACGGCCCGCATCCCTGAGTAATCCACGGCTGTTTATTTTTAGACGCTCCCGGCCGCTGCGTGCTGCTCTCGTTCCTCCTCCGGTCAATAATTCATACGCTGTCGGCCTGCTGTGGAGTCACAGAGCAGTTTTCTCATTGACATGGGCGCAGAGGGCGGACCAGCGATGCAGTCCAAAACTTTGAAGGTGCAAAACACCCAGCCGGACGGCCCCCAACAAGATACCACCAAGAGGTAGGATCAAGTGTATTTTTTCAAATTTTGCATCACTCTCAACGTTGGTATGTGGTCTCAGAGGGCAGAATATTGAATGTTATGAATCTGCAAAAATGAGCGTAGTTTATCTTCTTTTCCTCTGCTGTGAGCTTGTTTGTCCTCAGTCCCTCGTTTGTCCCATGGAGGTTAAAAAACTACTGCTGTGTTAACAAATGTGTTTAAAGCTGCCTCTCTGTTTCCCAGAGAAGCATGTTAGCTCTCAGAGAGTCACAGCTCAGGTCCTCAAGTTCCTCCCTCCAAACTGCGACCAAAAGCCAAGATGTTTACATACAATAAAAACTTAATGCTTTTTCTGCTTGATTAGAATGATACTATGATCAAATGATAAATCCTGCATCATGACTGTGTTTCAGGCCGTTGCCACCAGAAGTCCAACAGCCATCTATGCAGCCCAAACACCAGGGGAGGACCAGCACTGCTCCACAAAATTGTGCATGCTGGGCAAACAAGGCAAAGGACTACGTAACTACGTACCAGAGTAAGCAATTTCAAGATCAGTAATTAAATGTACAACAATACAATGCAGAGTGTGATCCAGATCCACTCACTGCCTGTTATTTTTAGACGACTTCAGGGTGTGGAAAATAAACAGACGTCAGCCTTGTAGGCCCTGTGACTACCTGAAAGTCAGCCAGGGATTATCTGTCAAGAGCAATGTTCCCAAAAGAGGCACCTTCCGCAGAAAAGTTGCTCAAGTCCCTGTCAACCCCAAGAAAGACCCAGAGGTGAAAGAGCCACCTCGGTTTGAAAGCAACACCACCTACAGGGTTGAGTACGTCGCCCATGGAGTGCAGCCCAGGACACGCACAAAGAAACCTGCGTATCAATCCAACAACATTCGGCCAACAAAGACAAATGTGGGCTCAGATGTAAACCAGACACTTTTGGACAATCCCAGTGACCTCTTTGAGCAATTCAAGTCCTGGTATATTAAGTCAAAGTCCTCTGGCCGAGGCAAAACCAAAGACTCCACTCCAACTGAAGATCAAGCCACATGTCTGAGCACGACAGTTCAGAACTTTGAGAAAAGCACCGAGCCCTTTGATGCTACCACAACCATGAAGGACAGTTACAAAGTTTGGAACGTGCCAAGGCGCCTCCCAATCTCTCTGAAGAAATCCGGCTTCTCTTTGCGCCATGAGCCTTTTAGGACTCCCTGTAACTGCATCTGTAACTCCACCTGTAATGTCACTCAGCAACAACAATCTCCTGCTGAAAAAGGAGTCACTTCTGCCCTCGAATGCATCGCCAAGGGGAAGGAAGAATCCAAGACATTGGACGGGGCCGCCAAGGTGAACGGAGGAGTGACTCAGGCCGACAGTAAGGTGTGTGAGGAGCCCAGCAAGTAATTGGTTGCATGGTTTCTAGTAAACTTAAAAGTTCACTAGAAACCCGTCTGATGACGACACATGGTGCTGCCGCTTTACCTCAGGTAGTTTCTGCCTTTAACACCAATAAAAGCCATAAATGATGCAGAGATTATGTAACAGCTGCTATTTTTATTCTTCAAGCTTTTCACTGATGCTTTGCAGTACGGCTCATTTTGAATGTTATGCAATCTATTAATTGAAGGGGGTTTATATTCAGCATAAGAAGTTTATTTTTTTTTAAGGGTAGATGGCTAAAAATGATCTTTCAAAACATCATCAAATACATCAGTGAATAGTGAGCATATGGAACAGTTTTTTTTATCTGTATCTTGACTTTGGAGAGACTTAAAACCCTGGATTTTGCCTTTTTACAGTGTCCTTACACAGTTGTAATTTCCATCCTTTTCCATACCCTACCTTTTAGAATTATTTTTGGAAATACCTACTTTTCTATTTTAGACAACAACATTTTTTTCTACTGTGGTAATAGTCTGGAAACCTAAATATTGTTCCATACCAAACTTGGAAATTGATCAAATTACTGCCATACTTTTCCATACTTGTGTAGGAACCCTGTTTTTAGTTGGTAATGCCATCATGTAGGTTAATATTTTTTAATAATTCATCCTCTCTCGAGATTGACTGTTAAAAATGACAAAAGATGAAGAACACTGTAGTATCACATAATGATACTTTATTAAAATACAAAAAAAATGGCAACTTTCTCAAAGTGAAATGCCCAGATTTATCTTAATTGGGAAAAGTTTCAAATTAGCATATTTACATCTTTGAAAGAATATTTTTCTTCTATCAATTTTAAAATAAAAACATTGTCAGAATTAAAAAATGCAAAGCAGATTTCCATGTTACCTTGGGGACTCCAGTGCAAACATAAAAATAAAGGGGAAGGGGGGAAAATTGTGAGTTTACACCTGCCAAATTTCAATTCGGATCCCCTCTGGCTATAAACATATGAACAAAAGCTGTCCCTGTTAAACTACATCATGTCAAATCCACTTCACTCAGAATGTTCAGATGTCTCAGAAGTGGTCAGTCTTCTTGGAAACGGATGTGCTTATGAGCCTCTTTGGCCCGGGCGATGATGATTTTTTCTGCTTTGGATATGAGCTGTGGTACGGCAAGAAGAAAAGAAACTGAATGTGAGACCCAGTTAACAAACGGCTCCAGCTGAACTATGGGCATATGCTGATCTACAACTGCGACAATTGTGCGCACGGATCTACAAATCTGCATTCAGAAACATAGATGTTTATAGAAATCCAGAATTGTTTTCCTAAACCTACTAAATGTATTCACATTTTTAGCTGCAGACAGTCATTGATGGATTAAAAGCTCCAGAATTTTTGTTGTTTCGTAACAGTTTTGCCATAATTACGACGATCTGATATGGGTTTGTTTGCCCTAAATTCAGGTTCAAAGGCTCATCTTGTTTCACTTTTGTCAGCTCAACCTCACCAGTCACTTGTTGGGATTAATTGATGGGATCATATTAACAAACCAACTCTCAGTCTAGAGAGTTTATTAGCTTGATAGTAGATAGTGGTGCAGTTTCCATTATTCTAGATATTCACAACAAGCCTGTGAACCTGAGCTCAGGACCTGTGAAACTGCACCTGAATGCAACTGTGGATCCATTTTTGCATTTGTAAATAGTTTTGCAGCAGTACTGGCTCAGTATACTGTGTGCGGATTCTTAAATTAGTCTACACCCTCAAATGGACTGGATTAAAGACAAACTACTTGTGGGATATGCAAACTAAACTTCAATCCCAAATGTGTGTATTTTTGTACTATGCCAAATGTCTGATAAGGACTGTTCAAAACATCTTATTAAAAGTGTATTGTTTACAAAGTTAAGACTAATTTGTTGAGTTGTTGGTACTTTTCTTTTAAAAATGAAAATGCTAAACCCACCTTCTCAGTGCCCCGCTTCTTTTCCCTCGGACGGTTCAGTTTGACTTGGCGGTCCACAAGGATTTTCTGCCAGTACCTTTGCTCATGATCACCTGTGACAGGCATTCAATATGAGTTTACTGAGCAAAATTATCAAACAAAACTGAATCTTAATCATTTGAAGACGTGGACAGATAAGGATAGAAACTTCTAAACAGCAATGAACTTGAGGCCGGCTGATGGACGCTGCCACAATTACCATGAATAACTAGTCAATCACAGCAGTCATCCTCATCTTTACAGCCGAAGAGCAGTGGAAACATATGATGCTACTTGAAAACATGGAAATCAAAAAGGCCATACCTGAGAGTATCTCAAGTTTCCAGCTGTGCTCTTTCTGTAGCTCTGCTTGAGCCTCACAGACAGCTTTGGCTCCCTCTGGGTTGTGGAAGCGGATGTGACCCTCTGCATCTCCTTCCAAGATGTCAACGTATGCCACAGGTGAGACTTTGGACAGAGCATCCTGCAAAAGAAGGAATTTCAGTCAAGGTTAATAATCTCCAGATCTCTGAGACAGACAACTGACATTGTAGTTTAATGAAGAAAAGCCACTCTAACGCATAAATGCACTAATAGAAGCCTTTCCTGCAAAACGATTTCCACTCTCCCCTCTGTCTTTCAGTTATTTGGCTTCACTGACCCTGACATACAAGCAAACGCCAAGTGTTCACAAAGAGCCGACTGTCCAGTTGATAAGTTAAACCAGGAGTTTGAATGTTTTCACATAAAGTAGGCAAAGCTAGCGGTAAATGACCCGACACAACAGCAGGCATTAGATCAGAGTATTTCACAAACTTGGAGCAAACCGTGACATGAGACAAATGCACAATCTGGTTGAAAATCAACACAGCTGCAGCTACAAACACAAACTCAGGGTTATTATATTTCTTCCTCATCATTATTGCATGATAGATCTGATTATAATAACTCCCACTGAATTCATTTGTTGCACAGATGAATTCTTGTGGCACGTATGATGGATTATCTCAGCTGCAGACCTGCCAGCGTCTAAACAGTAAAACATAAGTGGACTTTATTGATAAGCAAGATAATATGGGAAGAGTGAGGGGTTATCACTCTTGCCTTACGCTGGGGTCTAAATATCCCCTCCCTGTCGTGGAATATAATCAGATAAGCTCAATAAGCCTGGTTTATTATTTATATGTATACATAATAAAAACTATATTGGAAAATTATTTTTGTCTCTCTCCTCTCGTCTCAATTAGCAAAAAGAATTGCCATGGCGACCTACCTTGGTAAAGAGCCACTTTCATAGTACTGAGAACCCTGAGTTAACCCTGAAGTTTCTTCAATAACAGAAAACACAGCTATCTAGTGGACACCTGTGTGTATGTAGTGCTTGTTGTTTTGCTCTAATACAATCAAAGTAACTCAAATAATTAAACGGGGTCATGGAAATGCATTCAAAAATCAAACTGAGTGTGTTCCTAAACATAAAATGTACTTTGATGATCTTCCTCCCCGGTAGCGGCTTGTTGTCTGTGATCTTCATGATGACACCGCTTGTATACTGAGGGCCGTGGTTAGCCCCCTTCTCACTTTTGTCACATTTCTCATCTGGAAGAAAACAACAAAACAAAACTTACATTTTTCTCATCACACATTTTTCCACATCGACATGAGCTGAGTTGGGACTCACTGTTTTCCTCTTGAGGATCGTTGTCTGTGTCCATGTGATCAATCTTTGTCATGCACTTCTTTAGGGATTTCATGCTGCGCTTCTGTAAGGTCAGATACTCATCCTTCAACACGAGCCACTCCTTCCTTCACGAGAAAGAGGAAGAAAGATGTCAATTGTTGTTTTTCATCATTGTAGGTGTGGAGGGGTTTTTCCACTTGATTATTTTGGATGATTTATCAAAGAAAAAGGATATGGCTCTTACTTTGAGAGGACTCGAAGGGGAATCACCTCTTCCCCAATTTTCAGTTTCTCCTTGTGTTTCTTTTTTCTCTTCCGCTTTGCTTTCACAATTGATTCATCTCTGTTTTCTTTCCCTTCCTCAACAACCCTCTCTGAGTCACTTTGAGCAGGCGGATCTAAAAGGGGGATAACATTAGAAACACCTCATCACACTGGCATATTGTGAAAAGGAGAACCAAAGAAATCTCATTGGGCAGAAAGATGAAGAATAAAAAAAACTTACTAGTCTTTGTTACATCCTTCTCTTGCTCCAGACCTTCACTCTCACTTGCCCTTCTTATCTTTGATGGCAATTCACCCTCACTTTCTCCCACTGTCTGTGACCGTCGTCTTTTTTTGTCCGACACTTTAGCAGGGGTTTTCTGAGCACTGGGAGCTTCTGGCCTAAAGTCCCCACCTGCTGTGTGCTTCCTCTTTTGCTCAGGTGGCTCTGTCTCCATCACTTGCTCTTTTGATTCTTCAGCAGATGCCTGTGCGGTAGCGCCGTCCTTCTTTTTCTTTTTCTTCCTCTTTTTCTTCTCTTCCTCTTCAGCTTGAGTAATGTAGAGATGTATGATTTAATAAGATGAATTGCATTTATGTCACGACACGTCCAGGGAAGAAGAGATTTAAGAGAGGATTTGGGATTGATTTTGTGCCTCAGCAGTGATTGTCACATGTGAGTCATGTCTGTTTTGATGTTATGTCCTCTGAGGGCCTGAAGATCATAACCATCCAGTGCTGGTTTTGGGCCTCGTCTTTTAAACACAGATTTTCCCACATTCTCTGACTCTTTTAGTAACATAATATTCAGTCAAAGAGGAAATTCTCATGTTCCTTGAATTTTTCAATTCAAGAGCATTCTTGTGAAATTGTTAAACTATTTGCTCTTGAGGTTTCCCACAGAGTAGTGAACCTATTCCTATTTTTTTATTTAAACCTCGAAAGCGATCCTAATATGCTATTACTCATAAAATGTTACAATTTCAAGATTGCATATGTTCTCTTTGCAATTTTTTAATAAACATTAAGCATTCAATTCTGTTTTTTGGCCACATTTTGCACACTGTCACAGCTTTTTCTGATCTGAGGTTGTGTTGACTGTACCTGGTGGTGGATCATCTTCTGGCAGAAGAAGGGGCTTCTTATTCTTTGTCTTGGGGAAAATCCCAGGTTTTCTGGGAGCATCTTCAGGGGGGTTATTCAGCATCTGTTCCAAACATTAAAACTGTTGGTGACTTTTCCACTCTCAAGCAAACATTTCACAACACTGAGTGATCTGCAGTATTGAAATATCATAATCAAACTTTTCACCTCTATGGCTTTCTGTGCTTCTTCCTCTTTCTCAAACTCCACGAAAGCAAAACCTTTTGAGTCGCCTGAAGTCTTGTATCTAGGAATGCTAACATATACTACATTCCCACATTTTGTGAACACTCTCTCGATCCAGCTGTGATTCACGTCCTTGGGCAAAAGTTCCTGAAAAAGAGAGAAACTTATCATTTTGTATCCCAACAGTTTTTTCATTTTGCAAGAATTTTTTCAAAACAACCAGAGAAAAGAATGTATATTTAAGTCCAATAAAATAGATGTACATGATGTGCTCTAAATCGCACTATAATTCAACTTATTTTACCACATAGACTGTGCGGCTGTCCACGTCACTTGGTACTTCTCCAATTGGAAACTGACGCCTTATTTTGGTTCCTTCTAGGTTAACCTGAAAAGAAAGGGAACCCATGTTTCTAAATTGCAATCTTTTCAAGCTAGTTTAAGAGTTTAAAGGGATGTTCCTGCATAAAACTTATTTAGGGTCAAACACACCATAACACTGAGTTAGACACCCCCTTGAGAGATGAAGGTTGCCGACTGCTTGCTTCTCTAGTTATACCAACTTAAGTAATGACCATACAACAGCAGTACTCAGCGGTCTACCCCTCCCGCAACCAAAACGCCACTCTATAGCCACAAATAATGCTCAGAACAGCACCTAACTTCATCAACAGGATCCCAGCCATAGTTCTAGCCACCAAACATCTTTTTAACTTTGCCTGATTTCTTTAGCAAAGAGACTAAACACAACTCACCTACTCTCTTCCAGCAGCTGCTTGTTTGTAGCGAGACCTTGGGCCAGTCTATTAGAGACTACAGCGGGGTGTCGCAGCTCAAGGAAGAACATTTATGATTATTACTTAATGGAAATGCAATCATATCGAGATGCTAAGGCAAAAGAACTATCAAATTCAATCAAATTTTATTTAAATAGCGCCAATTCACAACAGTCGTCATCCCAAGATGCTTTCCAAAGTAAAGGAGCAGGTCTGGACCATGCTCAACTACCGCGTCTGCAGTGCTAAATGATTTATATGGTGAGTATTACTTCAAGGAAATGATAAAGAAATGATCATAAAAGTTCTTCCTTAAGCTGCATCACCCAACTGTAGTCCGTAATATACTGGCCCGAGGTCTCACTACAAACAAGCGGCTGCTGGAGGGAAGTGGGTGAGTTGTGTTTAGTCTCTTTGCTAAAGAAATCAGGCAAAGCTAAAAAGATGTTTGATGGCTAGTACTATGGCTGGGACCCTATATGTACTGTTGATGAAGTTAGGTGCTGTTCTGAGCATTATTTGTGGCTATAGAGTGGCTTTTTGGTTGAGGTTTGTTTACGGCTCCTAAGACCGCTGTGTATTGCTATCTGCGGTTGTTACTTAAGTTGGTATAACTAGAGAAGCAAGCGGTTGGCAACATTCATCTCTCGAGGGGGTGTCTATATCGGTGTTATGGTGTGTTTGACCCTAAATTAATTTTACGCTGGAATCTCCCTTTAAGGCAACAAGATTCAGTAGATTCATATCACCTCGACTACGGATGAGTTTTTCACCGCTCTAGCAATCAGCTTTGTGTCAGTTGTCAGCTTCTTCATCCGGTTGAAGCTCGCCAAAACAGATATATCAACATCTGAAAGACATGAAACATAATGCATGATTAAGGTGTGAGTTATTGTGCAGTAGCTTTTAACATTTAATTCAATAACAGATTTGATTGTGTGGTGTACTACTGGAGTCTTACATCCATCATCCGATTCGTCTATGAGTTTTCTCAGAAATCGGTCTTTGTGCAGGTTCACGTCCCCAAACCAGAACTCCACCTGCCTCTTCACGTCACTTAGCAGCTGTTTGACTCGGGACCTCTTCTTTTTCTCCAGGTCTTTGTTTTTACTGTGGGGTTCTTTGGCGCCAGCATCACTAGCACCTCTCTCAATGTCAATCATCCTGAGAGTGGGACTGCAACACAGTTAACAATGAGAAAACAACACCATAACTGTACATCATGTAAACACGCCCCCCCGTGTAATACTGACAAGCAGAATGAGCCGTAATAGTTATACTGAATACCACAGGAGGTGCATTTAGCCACTTTTAACAAGCATGAGCTGTGTGATCATGCCTGGCGTGTGGACTATGAGTGTTGGCAAACATTTGTAGAAACTTGTATTGTTGTCAGTTCGCGGGGAAGTGGCAATTTAAAATAGTGCGGATGTGCCCACTTCTTTCAAAAGCATTTCCTCAAGCTGAACCAGCAAAATTAAACGAAGAGCTCACCTGTTAAACGACGCAAACACGGTTCAGTTTCCCGGGCTTCATGCACACAGATCACAGAGAAAAGCAGCTTTCTGGCTGACTTCATACAAACGGCGTTAGTTCGTGCGGTTACCAGTCGCAGGGTAACTACGTCATGTCAGAACCAGAGTAGCTTCCGGTAGGGTGCTCGAAAATAAAACACATAAAATGCGTTTTCTTCATATAGGTTTCGACGTTTTATCCACAAATCAGCACAAGTTTCCATACATACTTTTTTTAAAAATAAAAAAAACATTATCACGCAACAGTGGACACGAAAGCGCATAGAAGTAAAGGAAATTACAGCATAAATAAATAATATATAAAAAAAACATAAATAAATATTCCCTCACACAACAATTAAACCAGACAACTGAAAATAGTCGTTCAATTTCAATTGTATTTCATTCAAATCAGTCTCCAGTCTGCCTCAACAGAAAGAGTTGTATGTGGCGTTGTCGGTGCTTTTTCTGTACTTAAAAAAATAAATACAAAACAAGTAGGAAACAAACATTCTTTCGTCAAAAAAATAACCTAAAAAATTGCTATTTCTTATTGTCAAACCAATACAAAAAGGACGTGAAATGAATTTTATTTTGATGATCAAAATATTTTTGTCCTTTCCGCAGCGTGGCCGGTTAGCTCAGTTGGTTAGAGCGTGGTGCTAATAACGCCAAGGTCGCGGGTTCGATCCCCGTACGGGCCATCCTCCTTTTTAACCAGACATCAACAAAAACGTCACTGTCCACACAGTGAATCTATATAGTTTATGTTGACACTACAGAGAGAAAAAGCTGTGTCCTGTAATGCTCACAACTGTCTTAACAATTACAACACCATAGTAGTTGCACCCCCTCTGTACGTTACAGTCAGTCTCAATTGCATTTCATAGCTTATGAGTTGAGGGGAAATGTAGAGTTGTCTTTCAGAAGTCTAAAATGCTCTTAAACTTTCTCAGCTTCTTGCACATGTCATCCTCAGTGCAGCTCTCAATTCTGTCGCTTATTAGCTGTGAGAGTTGCATGTAAAAGGTTTTTGCCCACTTGGCTTCCAAGCAGTGGGCTGATATGTTGCACACTTTGTGAAGTACCATCACAAACTTTTCATTGCTACTGACCTCACACCTTTTTAACACCCACTGCCCCCACGCTTCCCACATGTCATCATCTGTGAAATTCACAGTAATGCTCTCTTTACTGCTCAAGGACTCTGGATTAGTGTCTGGTAGATCGTTCCATATGGCCCTGCGTGAAAAATAACACATTAGATACACTCAAGGTTGGAGGCATGCTTAGGGGTAACGTGTAAAACTTCACTTACACAACTCTTTCCAGAGGGTATGGGGTTAGGTCACTGAGTGACAGAAGACCTCTGTGGCTTACTCGATTTCCCTCCATCCTGTAAAAGCAAAAGTAACAGTGACATTTATCATTTTCTTCCATTCTCTTCAGATGTTTTTTTTTACTTTTCTATGTAGTTGGTGCTGAGCAAAACTTTATTTTTAATTAAAATCAGCACAGGAACAAGACGTGATTTGAATTGTTTTGTGGCCTCAATTCATTGTCTTCCACAACAAGCTTGGGCACAGCTGAGCAAACAGACAAGCATCATCACACAAGCTTTTCAAAGAGACTGGTATGATTCAGACTACCGTGACTGCCCTCTGTCTGGAAGCGTTTTCATTTCACAAAATTAGATTTTTTTCCATCCAGTGATGTTCCCCCTCACACTGATTTCTTACCACAATTCCTTGAGCTGTTTTTTCATTCGAATGGCACTTGAAAGCACGAGTACTTCATCATCACCGATGTTTGACCATCCGAGTCTGAAAGGGGAACAGAAAACCAGGAACAGATGTTGATTCTATTTAAATGAATCTATTTTCTTACTTTCTGAAAAAAAGGTCAAATGTTGTCCTGGAAATGAAAGTTGCAACCTTTCTTATTATTTCATCTCTTTAATGCTAACAAAAGCCTGTAATACCTTACCCAAGGTGGGTTATAGCTTCTGACGATAGCAGCACATCCGCAATAACCTGAGCTGCATCCATGTCAAGATTGTTTTCTCCAAGCCTTTAAAATGACACAGTGTAGAAGGTGCATCAGATTTTTCATATCTTTAACACATTTAGCAAAAAAGAGGAAAAACTCTTGTAATAGATGCGTTGAGAGAGAGGTTTTACGCTGCCTTTGCACCATTTTCAATTAAATTAAGGGTTTAAATTATTCCCCAGCCATCAACTACTACTTTTATCAACACTTTAAGAAGCAACCCAGCTTCTTTGTGATAGGAACTGTGCCTAAAACTCACCAAAGACTCTGACATCTTAGCAGCAGCAGTTGAATGTCTCTCAGTGCTTCACTGTTTACTCCAGTCCCGGTCAGATCCAGCTCTGATATTGTGCCTTTTGTCAGGTTCAGGAAGTAATTGATGGCATTGTAGTCCATCTGCGAGAGTGTTTCATCGCTAACATTGATTCGTAGAGTCTCGGGTTGTACCGCAAGGGCCAAAGAGGGGTCCTGCTGTTCGAACAGGCAGTGCAGATGGTTAAGAATATGTGCCCCATTTTCACAGAGCATGGTAAGTTCTTGGATGATCCTCTGACGACAGGTTTCCACTTTATCTTCATGGCAGCACAGCCCCACCTGCCTCGACAGAAGGTTAGCATTACGTTCAGAGAGGATTCCGGACAGGAAGCGGTTGAAAAGGTCCAAATGTCCATAACTGGACCCCTCACCGGGACTTGTGGAATTCTGAAGTGCATCAGGTAAAGGTTGGTCTGTCATTGCACAGTAAACTGCAGCAAAGAACTCTTGGATGGTGAGATGTGCAAAAGAGTAAACCTCTTCAGTGCAGCCGGGCTCTTGTGCAACTGTCTTGTCAAGGAAAGTGCTCACAAGGCTGCAACCCTTCAGTGCTGCGACATCTCGGTCACTGCTGTAGAAAAGTGTTTGATGCTCCATCAACTTCTGAAAGGCAAGTCGGCCCAACTTGAGCACAACATCAGATAGCTGCAGATCAGCTCCTGCGTTTTGCTCTTTAAGAAATGTTTCAGCTCTTGCTTGAGTGTGAGAGCGAAGCAAAGCTACCAGATACTGCACATAAATGTCCGTCATGGTCTTGGGGCTCTGTCCCCCGAGGTCTTTGCTTTCTTTGAGGATACAGCACACAATGTAGCAAAAGGCGGGTATGTAGCACAATGTTAGCATAAGGTCATTAGCTGACACAACAGCAAACATGCGCTCAGCAAGGGTACTGTCCTGGAAGTACCGCAAGAAGAAGTCTTGAACTTCAACCAAGGAGAAGCCAGAGATGAGCACGAACCGGTCAATGCACCCAACAGGGATGTGGTTGATAGCTGTAGGTCGACTGGTGAGCAGGACAGAAGCATTTGGCAGCAGTTCACCTAACATGAGACTGCCAAAGATCTCCACCACGTCTGCCTCTTCATCTGGCTCAGTCACAAACACATCGACATCACAGCTCCTGTAGTGTTTGAACTCATCAAAGCCATCCAGGATGATCAGTAGTTTGTCGTCGTTTGCCAAAATGTTATCCAGTTCTTTAGCTAGGTGCCTGTTTTTACGCAAAACCAACTCCTGGAAGCTCATGGGTTTATCGATCAGATTCAGGTCACGGAACGTCAAATGGATAACAAAGTCGAAGGCGTGACAGTTCTTGTTTGCGCCAAAATCAAACAGCATCTTTTGCACCAGGATAGTCTTCCCTATACCAGCTACCCCTGTCACGAGAACCTTCTTAATTGGACGGTTTCCATTTTCACTTAAAAAGAGTTCCCCTGGTGCGATTTTTCTGTGCACTGCTGACTTCTGCTGCAAAGATAGTCGTTTTTGTCCAAACGTAAGCACCTCATGCCTTTTGATATCTAAACCCTGGTGTCCGTCGACCAACAAGAGGTTGACATAGTGTTCAGAAAAAAGGATTTTCTCTCCATGTCTAGTGTTGTAGAAGAGCATGCTCTCGCTGCGTCGCCTGAGGACATCTCTATGTTTTTGTTTGACTTTGTTATACTCTGTAAAAGAACATATAATTATTAGATTAGATAAGCTTTAAGACATCAATTCACAGTATTTTGTCGAACACAATTTAGGAACAGTGCAGTCTTATTGAAGGTGTCGTACTCCAAATATTATCTAACAAGTGTTTACATGTCTGTGGTTTTACTTGCATACCTATAGACTGAGGTGGATCTGTGTTGCCTTCTTTGGAGTATTTCTGTGCCTCTTGCTGATGATTTGAGCTAATTGAGAGAAAAATCCTCGCTGCTTCCTCGCCTTTAAACCCCAGGATATCCAACACCTTTCTTACTCTGGCACGGGGCCCCAACTCACACAAAACCTCCTCACGGTCATCACGAGTGAACAGCTCCTGACTCACTAAGATTTCCAGCAGAGAGTTAATCTGTCCTTCAAGTTCATCCACCAGAGAAACTCTTAGAACCCTGATTGCTGTCAAAGAAGAATTACAACCATCCCTCTCTACCATAGCTAATCCTGAATAATCCTCAGCACGAAGCAGATGAGTCCAGTTATGATCTGCTGATCTGAACCGTTGCCTCTAGATTTCCTCTCATGGTTAGAAGAGATCCTGAATGAAAGTGCTCATTCAAAAGCTGGACAGTTGAGTCAGAACTATACTCTGCAAAAGCAAAGGGGAAGTGCATGATTTCACATGCTGAGGTTGTGCAGACATGGTCCTGAATATCTTGCTTTTCTGGTTTGTGGTGTAACCTCCCAATACAGAATGCATATTTTAATATCTTTTTCGTGTTGTGACAAGTACTGAAAGTGAAACTTATAAAGTCATGGATAAAACATCTTAACGCAACACCCATTTAAATACATTGGAAGTGATACTTTTAATTTTCTCAATAGAAAGGGAAATTTTTACTTAAAAAATAAGAATGTGTTAAAATTAAAGACAAAAAGACTTTCAAAGGAATGTACTTGGTTTTATTTCATGACTTACCAGGCATGAGCAGAGAGCAACACATCAAGTCACCAGCAGAGGGTCCCCATTGCATGCACAAATACAAAAAAAGAGTACTTAAAACCCAACCCTGAAGTTATTTACAAAACTATGCACAAGAACACACATTAAAATAAATAGTTTAAGGAACAAATATCTACATAACTTATGAGCATATGAAATATGTTAATGTTTTCCTCTTATAACATGAAATAAACACACCTCAATGAAGGGCCAAGTAGTTTCCTACTTAAGGCTTGTGTTGCATGGTGACAAAATCAGAACATAATGTCAGAAGTGCAAACCTTGCTTAAAGTAATGTAACTATTTTAACTTTAAAATGTCCCTCCATAGAGTAACGACATATATTGAAACATAGGGCAGAGGTCATATTTACATATCTTAAGTTAAACAACACTAACACTGAAATCTGTCAAAGAAGAAGAATTATACAAGTTATAAAATGTGTTGTTTTCTTTTGATAAAATATCACATGATAGACTTAATGAAGTGAGCAGTCTGAGTTCTTTTAAAAACAGTTCTGGTTACCATACACTGACACATGCTGTAACGTCATAAAGTGGTTAAAGGGACTCGAAATAAAAAACAAAATATACAAACGATGTAACTTTACAAAATTAAAGAATAACTCAACAAGCCATGTTTTACACAAGGTCTTGGAGGAGTTGAGTGCAAAATGAGTCTTTTTTTTTTTTTTTTTTTTTTTATTGACTTGCTTCAGTCGTACTCCTCCTTAGTGCAACCCATGCAAAGAAAATCCTAACCATATCTCATGTTTATGCCAAAATGCACAAAAAGCTGCTTCCTTTTAAAGCTCCTGTGAAGAAATTTGGTTTGTGTTGACAAAAAAGTACCTTTTCTCTCTTTGCTTATTTTGTCCTGCATGTCTATACCTATTATTTATTCATTAAATCTTAAACTGTTTTATCTCAAAAGGCACAAGTCTGATTTCTTAGAAATATGTGCCAAAATGTACAAAAGTGTTGTTTTTCAGCATGCAGTCAATCACCGTGATTGGCACCTACCCCCTACCAACAGATTCAAACTTTAAAACTCACTGTATAGAAATTATCGGTCCTAACAGTGATGGCCTTGTTTGCTTTTGTACATCATATAAAGGCATCTTAAATTATTTCAGTTTGTTTCATAAACATCTTAAAACTTCTCACAGGAGCTTTAAATAGCTCTACAATCAACATTTTCTGAATGTCCCAAAATGGAAGCAACGATAGTGATCTATTTTTGAGGAAGCTAAAGACCAATTATACATGTTTATCAAATATGATCTTTTTCCCATTTGAATGCATCATTAGGCGACCTTTTAGCAAAATGATGCATGGAGTTTTTTGATACCTTATACCAAAAGTTTAATTTTAGACCATGGCAAGAATGGAAAACCCACATCCATCCAGTGGTTATTAAAAAAGCCGATGTCCAGCTAAAATCCTTTGGTATTAAGTTGATCAATTTCTAAAGAAAAGTCACCACTAACATACTTTTGCACTGTAAACTAGACTGTCTGTCGCACACTATTTTGGACATGAAGTGACAACACTGCGCTCAAACAGCTGAGCACTTCTGTCCTATAGCTTTAGGGACCACAAAAATGCCATTATATCAGCTGATGCTTTTAGACAAGTTCCCCTTTCAGAAACCCAACAGTCGTCACAATTTTCTATTGTTCAGAAATGGAAATGTGTCTCAGTTGCTTTTTGCATGATTTAGAAAAGCTGTGGGTACAACTTCAGATTAAAAAAACAAAGACATAAAAGCTATGTCACTCCTCCATACTTAGAAAACCAAACCGAAGATACCACAATTGATACCTTTGAGAATAATCGATAACACCCACTGTTGATTTAGCCACCCAGCTGTACCCCCACAAAGCCGGGTCACAGGGACAGATGAAGGCGTAAGATGGGGCTTGAAGATTTTAAGTCTCTGTTTCTTGTCTGAGTGTCTTTCCCGGCCTGCTCTGGTCATCCGAGGCCCTCGTCTTACTCTCCTGCCTCAGGTGTTGCTGCAGGAGTGACAGCAGCGGGTTTTAAACTGAGGCAGAGGGCAAAGCTCCAGCTGTCGAACCTTTTCGCAGTACCGTGTGCTGTCCCGACACTCTCCTGCTGGAATACAGAGAGGCTGCAGTTAACTACACATACTCATGTTTTTTGTTGTGTTTAAACGGTTAACAAACTAGAATTCTAGATTAAGCATGCCCTCCTCTAGAGACCACCTTTTCTCCAACCCACAAACAATCCCCATGCAGCCTCTGCACTCTCCTTTTCTCACCTCTGCCACAGGACAAAACATTACACCGCTGCCAGCTGGGAGGGCGTGGCCTCCACATGCAGTGATGTTCCCGTGTGACTTTTCCAGTACGACGGTGCGTGCAGGTCACCTGACGTGACTGGAAACCATGACGTCCACAGGTGGCGGTGCACTGCGTCCACTGGCCTACACGCCAATAAAGGGCGCAGACATCTGTGGAGCAATTCTTGACGGTGCTGGGTCTACACATACAAACACACACCAAGAAGAAATACTTGAGAGTGGCTTTTACTTAAACACAACATCTCACTGCTATTTATAGTCAGCATGATACATTAACTGCATATATGTTGTGTGTCTATTTTATGCTATGCAATTCACATTTACCTCTGGAGTCCACTGCACATCCTGTAAGAGACTTTGGAAGCATTTGTGTCCAGGCAGAAGACATGGCGGTGTTGAGTGGCCAAACTTGGACCGATACACTGACCATTACACTGAAAGAAAAAATTCCCAAAGTTACAAAAGTAAGAACTGCTTTTTGTTTTCAGTGTTCGGTAAGCTTGACAATAAAATCAGTTTGTTTCTACTTAAAATAAGGAATAACTTTTCTAAAAAATCTTTGAAAACAATGGATCTTTTCAGACACAGAAACTCTATAAAGATGGAGTATTAGGGCCACATTATTCTCGTTAGTAATGACTTTGATATCATTAGTAATTACTTTATTCTCGTGAATAAACGACTTCAATCTCAAAGTCTAATTTTTTTTTCTTAATGTGGCCCTAATACTCCGTTGTACTCTTACAAAACCACTACAATAGAAAAATAAGTGAAAAGGCCAAGATGTTAAAAAGAGGGCACAGATACTCTGCTCCTGTTAGATAAGGTTAGCTAAATGCTTCCCCTTTAAATTATTCTGATGTAAAACAATGTAAAACAAAAACACAGAAGAACTGGTTAAACTAGTTCAGAAACTTCCTCCATCAAACTAAAGAAAACATTTAAAATGATTTAACAGCGTCTATAGTGATCCTTTACTTAGTTACGATAAATCATTTAGTGCATGCACACTTTGTGGTCACTGCAGACTAACCAGTCCCCAGCTGGTCGTGGCCCATCTTGCACAGAGCTGTAGGTTGCATGTTCTGGTGTTAGCTGGTCTCCTTCCAGCACTGAGGCACTGCTGGCTGTCCACCTCTCTCCATCTGCCTTCAGGACCCTTCATGCAGCGGACACTCCTGGTCTGGGAGCCGCCTCCACAGTTGGCTGAGCATGGTGACCAAGGATCCACTCGCCACCTTTTGAAAGGAAAGTGGACACCAGAAATGTATTTTATAAGAAATTAAATACTAATCCCTGAATTTTCACAGTAGGAGCAGATACAAGAGAATCTGGACGTCATTTAAAAATTCTGCAGAAAAGATTAGGCTCTTTTAGGAAAATTGGCAAAACATAAAGAGGAGTTTGAAATGCATTTAAAGACACAACAGGGATGTAATCTACTAAATATCAGAGTATTCAACTTGAGAAAGATGTAGTAGCAGATTAGTACCTGAGAGGGCAGGCTTGTCCACGGCACAGCTCAGCCAACTGGCTGCTGTTACTCTTCTCAGAGCAAATGTGTCCATTCACTCCCATGCTGTTTCCTTGGACACAGTTTCTTCCTCTGCCACCTAAAAATAAAAAAATACCGCAAGAGCAAAATGAATTGATGATTATAGTGTTGGAGAATCTTATCATGTAACATTCCAGCTCTTTTATTGCTTTAATACACAAAGATGTGTTGTCAAGTACAAGCATGACTCTTGGGTTTGCAGTTCGGCACTTTTTAAGGTATGACTTTTTAAGACCCAGATTTAACCTCAAACAATTCAGCGATGGTCATGATTCTGCGGTTAAGTACTTTTTAAGAGGCCTGTTCTTGTTCAGAAACAAGAACATGGAAAGACTCAAATTCTCAAGTTCAATTTCCCTGTTTTTACAGAGCTCAGGATCACATTCTCAAGATTTCTGAAGTGCAGCCATTGGACATGACCTTCAACTCGATTTAAGTTGAAAACACAATAAAAAAATCAGAGTGGACATTTTTCTGCACTTTTAATCCCCTTCAATCCTCTTCATTTAGATAAAGCTAATGGGGAGCACCCACTTAATCCTCTTTGAATCATTGCCTGGAATCTCTAATTGTTGTCGTATGGTGAGGGAAAGTGCCAGAACATCACGAAAGC